CATATATATATATATGTATATAGAGTGGTTGATGCAGAATTCCGGAAGGGAGTCCGCACCCCAAAAACAAGCAAGCCTAGACAAACTTCGCCATAGTTGGGAGTCCCGAACAATTCACACCGGAACGACAAGAGCTCGCTCATGCTGGCCATATGAACGGTCCAATCAGCATTCAACATCATCTCGCCAATGAGTTGTTGTCCCAGCGACAGCATTGCTACACTGCTACACTTGATCACAGCCCCCAGGGTGCAGTGTCGGAATTGACTGCTGGTATCTGGACCGAGGCCTCAAAATTATCAGAACCAACTCGTCATGCCTTACGTCAAACATCTGTGTCGTTATAAACAAAAAGCCGGCCCTGAAACGCACTATTCTGGACCTTTGTGCAGTTCAGAAGTGCTTCGACTACCCCTGTTACTGCTGTTAGCATTCCGTGGAATCGGTTGGTGAAACTCTGAGCGAAACATAACATGCGCCTGCTGGCTCCCTGGTGCAGCTTGAGGTATAAGCTGCCGTTGTAGTTCTGGCGCCGGGTGCCCTGGCTCTTTGTCCTGGACGCAGAAGAGCCGCGTTCTTAGATCCCTTCCGCTGTATCGTACGGTATCGTACAGCGAAGCGGCGGAGGCGGCAACAGCCAGGATGCAGACCTCCAGGTGTGTTGGCTGTTGGATGTTGTTGGCATATCGAGTTTCTGCTACCTGGAATGTATGCTCGCAGAGAGCCTCCCAGGTTGCGGGGTCTTCATCCAACTTGGCGATGGGAGCCAGGAAGGAAATCCTTGGTCCGAAAACTCTGATGGGCCAAGAAGACTTGCCGACGCATGCTCTGCCTGTCCCCTGGATGGAGTTGTTGAAAGCGGCCCGTCCTGAGCACACTTGTGACTCAGTCAACCTGGCGCCAACAGTGAGAAAGCGGCCATTGCGTGCGGATGTGGAATATCAGTACCGCGCGCCATGCGCACACCGTTCACCCAAACTCCGTTTGAAGAAGAGTCCAGGAGTAGCAGCATTCGGCCCAGGCTGACCTCGATCGAATTTCGATGCAAGATCTCTTCTGTGGAGCCACTTGCCACAGCGCCTCAGGTGAGTCCTGAAGGACAAAAGTACCGTGCCTGACAGCAGGATCGGCATCCCATTGGCAAGCACGTGCCGGACACAAAGTGGCTGAGTCGACGGCACCTTTGACACATACTGATGCCGCAGGACTGCCTCAAGGAATTTCTCTCTGGGGCTATCATCAGACATCAGAAAGCATCCGATGACTACAGAAAATGGCAGGATGCGGCGGACATCAGTAGGCCCCACACATCACAAGTATCTTCGCGACCTCTTGCAAAGTGCCATGTGCTCTGTCCGTGCGGTTAGGGCTGCGAAGAGCCACCAGGAACGAAAAGTCTGACCTCTGAGAAATGAACCGAAGACAAGTCGTGGCTTCTGAGCGGAAATGCTGAAACTTTCTGGTGGCTCCCGAAGGGCATCCGGCCTGGATCAATCAACCATGCTGCCGGAGTCCATGGCACTTTCCAGTGTGCACAGCAAAGATCTGTAACTTGCGACTGGGTTGTTGCCAGTCCACGTGGATCCGCTCTCCAGACAAGTAGGCTCCAGACACGGGGCCTTTGCCACAACGCCGCAGCACGTATGCCTTGGCAGCGGCATACGTTTAGATGGACTTTGAAGAACACCGTTCTGGTAGGCTTCTCGCTGCAGGAGGTCCGGTAGCCTCGGCGGAGACTTGACGGGTGTCTGCGAGGGAGGTGCACTCAGCCTGGTGTGCGCACATACAAACCCATGCATGGCATCTTGCGGGATATGCTGCAAAGATCGAACTCGCTCCTGCGCTGCAGTAGTTTGGCCACCAACAGCAGGTCGTTCGTGTCGCACCTCCTGTTGGGCAACCTGCTCGCCGAGGAAACTTGATGTGCGTGCCGAGTATGCTCTTCAATGCTTTAAAGCGGCCTCCCGTGGAGGGAGGCTTGGAACACCTCGAGCCAACGATGCCAATGGGATGATGTGCACGGCGAAAATGGCGATCGAACTGGGGAAAGAACTGGCAGAGCAGTAATATTCTCTGAGGGAGTAGCCTGGCAAAGTCTTCATCATGACTTTTGAGAGTGTCTGGAAGTGCTGCGGGGTCCACGCCGTCTCCCGGAGTGAGGGTGACGGGGTAGCAGTCGTCCGGAACTGCATGCAAGACTATGCTTCCCTCTCACTTGCCAGCCTCTTCGCTGCTCTGCCAAGAGATTTTGGCTTCGGGCCACCACTCTTGGTGTAGAGAAGGTAGCGGTCGGTCAAGGCTTCCATGAGTGCCGCTGCTCCCTCGGGGTCCTGCAAAACGTGATTCAGTCTCACCCGAAAAGTTGTGGCTATTGGTTCGCTGTGCAGACAGTAAGAGCACCTTGTAGGACACCAGCCTGCGGAGCACTTTTTGCACTCCCGCCCGACAGTCCAAACACTCGGAGGTCTTGCCCAATCTGTCTTGCATTCCAAGGGGCAGCTGCACCAGGACACTTGCGTTTGGACGGACCAGCTCAATTGTGGAAACCTGCTAGCGAAGCCAGCGCCACGATTCTGCTCATTTGTGCGACGGAATGTTCAGGATGCAAAACTACAGCGACAAGCCTTTCCAAACAGTAGTGCGAACTGGTGCCAGCAGGACCTCAAATCTGCCAGAGAAGACAACACGGTAGCACCGCTGCGCCACTGCCCTCGCGCTGTCAAGTCTAAGAGGCTCAGGGCCGATGTTGTTGACCTGTGGCATAAGTCAAGGTGCAACGTACCGTATCCTACTGACTTAGGTTCTCTTCGAGTCGAGCCTGTCTGGGCACTTGACCATCGAACCACCTCGAGGGTAGCTCCAAAGCCACTGTCTTCCGCCTTGTGCCCGCAGCTGAAGCTGACAATGCCGAAAATGCAAATCGGCTGCAAAATGGTATGGCCTCGCTTCTTGCAGCTCGAGCTTCGCCTGGCTTCAGGATACTTCGTGCGCAAAGAACAACCTTTTGACAGGGTTGGGTCAAGCAAGCTGGAAAGGCCATTTGAGCCATTTGCAGGACATGTTGTGCCGACGACGTGTTCTTCAGGAATGTCCATGTCGCGGATATCTGGGGCATGTGCGAACTTCATGCTGTGCAGTCAATAAGCTCCAAACGTCTCAGGCAGAAGCCAAGCCCCCACAAAGCGGCTTGTTTTGCCATGCCTCGGGCTAGGGGTGGTGGGGCTGCACGGGCATAGCTGAAGAGGAGGAAAAATCAGAAAGAGTGGAGAACCAGCAAGGGATCGGCTGGCTGCAGCTTCTGGCACCTGCCGTGCAATGTGCTAGCACTCCTGCGGCTATGCTACAAGATTTGTTCCGGAGCTGCTTCTGTTGCAATCTTCGTGGCATGCGTTAGTGCCAACCCCCCAGACATGAATGCGTGACTTGAATTTTACAGCTTCGGTTCTTGCATGTGCTGCCACAGTCACGTGTGCGTCTCAAGCTGGTGAAACGCTTTGTCCTGGATGCTTTCTACTGTCACAAGCATGCGTTCACTTGCTTGGCTTCCGATGGTCGTCCAGAATCTTGTTCCTTGGCCGTGGCATTTCGACATTGAGCTTGGCAGACTGAAATGTTGCTTAACACAAGCTAAGGGGCGCAGTCTCTGGAATAACATCGACTACGTACAGATTGAAGACTGCAAAGCCGGCCATGATCAGAAAAAACGTGAGCCATGTGCCAGTAAGCTCGAAGAGCCTTAGATGGGATGCATGCACAAATTCGGCTGCTTGTCCTAGCTTTGCCAATCATGAAAATCTGGTGGAAGGCTAGATTGCTAGATTCTACATCCAAGAATCCCTTCGAAGAGCAACGGCCCCAACATTGCTGCCAGCCGCCCACAGGCCAAGCAAAGCCCGCAGCCCAAAGTCCTTGCCTTCAGGAAGAGATGCTAATCAAAATGCATGATGTGGTGGCGGCCATTCTTTCAACTTGCCCGCGGCCCTTTCTCTCGGTACACTTGTATGTTTCAGCTTTCGCTTCCACTCCAGTGAAGAAAGCTTACTCCAATCACGATATCGGGACAAAACATTCAGGCTTACAGATCACGAAAAACAACTTGAGTGTAAGAGGTTCTCTCACTGAGCCGAATTGCCTTAGTACTTAGAGCACACTGGGAGCACATTGCCAGTCTTCAGTGCTGCCGCGTAGGAGCAGCCAAAAACACCGAGGACAGACTCAGGCATGTGATGAGCTAATCAGCTTGGGCACTGTCACAGACTGTTGTCATTTTTAAATCACAAGAGAATGCCGAGAATTAAGTGGGAATCGTGTGCAAAGTACGTGGCTGTAGTTGTGAATGCGCGCACTGCGGTGCAAGTGAGCACTAACAGGTACGTCTGGAAGGACGTCAAGCCAACCTAACTTGCGGTACTCGCCAACTGAAACGGCAAACAAGCATGAACAAACGGAACCTCAGCAGGGTAGATTTCGTTGGCGACCTGCGCAGGACCGACAGCATTGTCGACATATAAGGAGACTACGACTGCAAGTTCGCAAGCAAAGTTAACGCAAAATCACCCTCTTGACACAAGACAGAAGGTCGCTGTATACTAGGTTCTGCGTTGCGACCTGGTAAACCAAGACGAAGCCAATATTCGGCGAGAGCTTGATTCCGTAATAGCCCGCATAGAGTGCGATGTCAAAGGCCCAGTGTCTGTTGCGATTGTTCCCTCCGATGATGAAGAGCAGAGTTACACTTGCGGCTAAGGTCAGGTAAAACTTGATGCCTGTCTTCCTGTCGAAGCAAAAGAAACAAGAGTGGCTTCAGTGGTGCTCTTGTAACAGGGTCGCGAGCAGCACACATGCAACTTACAAGCGCACCCGGATCATTTACTCACAGTCCTGAGGTACATGATCCCGAGGGCAATGCCAATGCAAACTCCGGGAATCTCCCACAGTGCCCCAACGAGCAACTGTTGTGCAGCACCCCTCGGCTCAGCTGCAAGTCTCAAACTGCGAAGGCATCCAGGACTCGCAGACAAGCCTGCTTTAGATCCCACAACGTTCCACAGCCAAGGCTCTCTGCCACCAAGTCAGAAAGCACTTGCGGAAAGGCATAGATACATCCATAATACAGAAGGTTGAGCTCGAAGCAGGTAAATCTCAGAAGCAACCACCGCTTGGCCAGACTGTACAAGTCTGTCAACTGTTAAACCGATGAGGCTACAGTTGGCTCGTCAGCTTCACGATACACATTAGCTGTATCTTTCCAGATCACGACAAGTCACGACACGACCATTGTGGGTAAGATCAGCTTTGCGCCCAAAATGGTCTTCAGGACAGGCATCGCCATACAGTTTTTGAAGCTACCCGGACCCTGTGCCAAATGCAAGGAACCGCTGCCTTGCCTGGCCTTGCCCTGCTTCCACAACATGTCCAACATCCCTTCGGTTGAACTCGACGTCGGATTAAGCGGAAGCCTGGACATTTGCTGGAGAAAACTTTGGCTTATTCTTGCTTGACCTGACAATGGCCTTCAATCTCTCTCAGGCCTCACAAAACCACACAAGGTGCATAACAATCACTAAGTCACTAAGGTCTGCCTGAAATCAACTGAGACATCGCTTGCTCGATTGTCTCTGCGCATGCTCTCCAGAACTTTGATCGCCTCGGCATGACCTGATTTTCAAACCATGCAGGGCGGCCAACTATCATCGGCTGCATAGCCCGATCCGGCCAGGCTTAGTGCCAAACATCCTTTAAGTTGCAGGTAGGTCGGCGATTGCTGCCTGAGCTGCCCCAAAAGTATTCAATATGTGTTCTTTGCACTGCGAGCATCTGTCTCAGATGGTGCTTAGGTGTGGATTGCTGCAGCTGGAACCTGTCCAAAGTGCCACCAAGCCTCAGGAAGGGGATGGCCAGTGCCATCAAAATCAAGGAGGGAATGGCACCGAGCTGGATGACACGGCGCCAGTTCAAATGCTTTAGACTGGGGTCATCGTTCATCAGCAGGAACGCAGCGTAGAGCTCCTGAGTTGAACACGCCGGGAGCTCGCCCAGGCAGTCCCGAACTGTCAACAAGCATCTCACTCGTCGGAAACTCTTTCACGCATGGCAGGATTTAAGGGCCTCATCACAGTACCAAGAGCCAAGGATCGCCGAATGCGAACATTGTCTGCGAGAACCCCCCAGTAACGATTCTCCAGCTAGAGGGCGTGATCTCAGCTGCAATCGCCATCCATGCTGGCTGCCCAATGCCGATGCTCCAGCCGACGATGAACCTCCAAACGAGAAGTACCTCGAGATGCTAGCAAAGCTAGACTTGCATGGCCACATAAGCTGTCATCAGCACAGTCGCGGCTATGGTGGATGATGTCGAAGACAGAATGCTGAAAATGAAAATACCTCAGGCAAGCGAAAGATGCTCCTTTTCTTCGACGGTACTCGTTTCTTGGCACACGGCTTGATGCGCAGCATTGTGTAACACTTCGATGACTCAATGACATATGCTTCTGTGCGGAGCCAAGTGTCCCGTGTACGAGGCAATGACCAACTCCCTTCGACCCAGGTGTGCGCCCAAAGGTCCACTGGAAATGTTTCCGACCATGACCCCTGTGTAGACCACAGTGACCTGAGAGCGAGATGAGATAAGACGAGCTTCACGTGCAAAGGTGCAATGACGAGTCACTCAGAGGATGTAGGCAAAAAAGCTGCTCAGCGCACGCAGTCCGTGCTAGTGGGGTCGCGCACTGGTTTCGGTTGCGTGTGATACGTGGGCTGAGGCTATGTCGGCGCCGTGTCCCCCTCCCGCGCACCCGGCGCACCCCAGCTACGAGTGCTTGCGGACCCGCGAAGTGAAACGAACTTGATGGTTCGAGAACTCATGGGGAATCGATTGCCACATTACTCATCGTGTCTTACAGTATGCACGAGCTGACTCTGGCAGAGAGGCGACGAAGCCCTTCAGAAAACGCGAAAGCTGCCAACTTCTGGCCAGTGTGTCTGCTACCTTGGATTCAGGCAGTTATGCTATGCTGCCTGAGAAAAAGCAAACAATTCTCGAAAACTTGCCGTCCTTCCAGAGTCCCAACGAGGACAAAGCACACTGCCAATCAGGAGCAGCTCGGCGCCATCTGCCAGCCAAACTCCACCACCGAGGAGGCTTGCACGCACCCTAAGTTGGCAAGAACGCTATCTCGCCTCACGACGATACCGAGCATCAAGTTCGCAGTCTGGTGGACCAAACTATGGAGGTTCCACTACGTCCCGTTTCACGCACTGTGGAGGCATATGGCTTGTCTTCACGGGTCCCAGCAGTGTCAGTAGAGGGACCAAAAACCGAGAGTTTAATCACCCAGGAAACGGAGCCAACAACCTGTTGGCAAATTAGGATTCTAGAATCTTCAATGCGCCGGCCCGCCTAGCCTGAGGCCTGCATTGAGTGGATACGTTTCAGCCAAACCTGCCGAGAATCTGCGCCGGTCCTAGTCCAATTTGATCGACGACCTCACCCAGCGTCGGCTTCTCCTGCATGGTGCTTAACATATCAGGCTACAATTGGAACGCCGACTGTCAGTTCTCCTGCTCTCTGCTGGCGGCGGACATAGCTTCAGAGCTTGCGGAATCCTTGGGTTGCGCAAAGCTGATGAAAGAAGCTACAAAGTTCACAGGTTGACACCAGACCCGACCTGAAGATGAACAGTGCCGACCAGCATCGGTAAGATGGCAAGTGCGGGTATCCACTCGCTATGCCACTCGATACGTTCTCAGATATCGACACTGGCACATGGATTTGCAAGAGGAGGCCGTGCGCCATCTACTCTCACAGTGAGCCCGCAATGGCTGAAAGCATGCTCAACAGCTCACCGAAGCCTCGACACCTGAACCAAGCAGGACCGCGACTGTATCACTGCACCCTGAAAAAATGCTGGGCCACGTAGAGTTGGTGGTGACTATGGCCACTTCGACCATGTGCCCACTTTGCTTTGGGCACTCTTTAGCCTCGACTCATTCTTGAACTGCTGCTTTCCGAGGAGACACACCAAGTATGCTTGGGCGGTCACGTCGGGACAGTCACAATAAGTGGAGGGCCCATGTACAGCTGGCGAGCACATGATTGCCACCTGGCAACGAATCCTCGGGAACCGGCTCCGTCAAACTTCGTTCACCGATGCACTGCAAAGGACTTTCTGCCGACATTCTCCTGCAGCGTCCTGCGCACTTCCTGCATTGCAGCCTTGTATAGATCCGGGCTCGCTCCTCCAACACATCGTCCGCTCGCATGATTACGGTAAAGGCCTAGCTGCCTAGCCTGAGGCCTGAGGGCAACGTCAGCATTCTCTGCCAACCCGTCTTAGCATCATCAAGCTCAATCTCCTCCGATGCTGTCTAAGTGGATGCGTCCGACCTTAGAGAGTCCATGCCAGAAAACACTCTTTTGCATCTTCATGGCTAAGGTTTGGCCCATTTCGTCCCGTCTGGCCGGAAGAGCGAATGCTTCTGGGGAGATGAGTTCGGGCCGGCTGTAGTTCTTGCACAAACTTACAGCTAGGCACGCACAGTGCGTCAAACACCAGGGAAGCAACTCAACAAGTGTCCGCATGTATCTGTGGTGTTCTGGATGGGCCTATACCTATGTGGTTGCGACGAGCAGGCATGCGACTGTTGACTTGGCTCGCTGGTCATTGACCAAACGGACTGAATCCATTGCGCTCTATGGGCGAAGCCTGAATTGCCAAGACGTAGATGCCAATCTCAGGAGACGAACATCCTCGCAGCTTTGCAGGCTTTGCATGTTGAAGGCTTTGCCCCAGACACGACATCTGAGTCTTCGACCCCAGCATCCATGCCAAGTCAAACCTCCAGCTGCAAAGCCAGTGTGTGATGCGGCTACCGCTCTGTTCATGGTGGCATGGCGCTAACCTCGTCCGCAAACTGTCGGAAGAGGGTTTGCAGGCCGGCCTTCGTCAGCTTGGAATGGCACTGCTCCACAGACTCAGCCCAGTCAGAAGCCTAACACTTTGGACTCCACAACGTCCTGGTCACCGTGCTCGGATTTGGCCTAGACGCCAAGCAGCTCACAGGCTGGCTAAGTAGCAGACAGATGCAGACAGTTTGCCCGCTGAGTGACTGCATCAGTGACCGCTTGACGCAGCCGAAAAGTACAGTACAATCCGCACAGCTTTTCCTAAGAAGAGCAGCACTGGGTCTCGGACCTTGAGCCGTTTATTTGGTGGGTTGACCTTTGCCGCGTCTGAAGGCTCAGAAATTCTTGTTCAGTGCAGAAAGTTTAAACCTGCCCCGTCCAAGAGCAATACGACTCTGGAAGTCCAATTTGCCCCACTGTATGTTTTTCATGGCTTGCACCCCTGAGCTGTTCACGGGATCAGCAAGATGTTGTACATGCTTCGATGACCTGCAGAGGTTCCAGGCGTTGCATCTCACAGACTGATGAACTGAGAGAATCAAATGCCCCTCGTGAAGACAATCATCCGCTTGTGCAACTGACGCAGTGTAAGACAACTGCATATTCGTCGGTTCTCTCTCCGAACATGCAGGTGATGAGCCGCAACATGCTGACAGATGGTTTCATTCTGCAACGCGCTGGCAGGCTTTCCTGCTTCGGGTTCATGTCGCCTCTACAATCTACAACGTCAGCCAAGTGCTCCTGTTGCTACAAGCGGGTTCAGGGTAGCAAGCTTATCATTCTGCTACTGTGCCTCGGGGTTACAACCGCTGGCATCTGGAGTGCAATGTAGTAGCAATTAGAACGGACAGATGCATGATGGATGCTGAATGTGTTTGCTGCTGCTGCGGCTGCGCTTGGACCTTGAGCTGGCCCGCAGCCACCAAATCAGCTTGAGATCGAGGCAAGACTCAAAGTAACACTTCGAAGTTTCAGAGCGCTGTGCTGAGGGCCCCAAATCTGTCTACGCAGGCCTTCCTTTCGCTGACATGGGCCATGTCGTCGCGTGAACCAATGCTTTTTGTATTGCCAGAGTATCAGGTCGGAAGCATCTGCTCGGCAAAGGCCTGTCGGTGTGTTGCTGGAGGCTGAGGGCCAACTGTAGACACAGACGGACTGCTTGGCTGGGTCTGAGAACGGTACCAGGAGTGTGGTGGTGGCAACGTCGGATCGCAGGATTCTTTGTCCAAGCGACATGCTCTGGAAGCCAGCAGATGACAGCCTAGGCAAAGCTTGGAGAGCGAAGCCTCGCCCAAACACGGAAGATGGCTGACGGGCAGTAGCTAGTACAGTAGCTGCATCGAGACATCTAAGTGGCTCACAAGTCCAACTCGGACCTTAGTCGTGTCGCAATGCGGCAACAAGAAAAAGCAAAGGATGACAAGTTGACTTTGTGTTCGTCTCTTGTGTCAGAGAAACAGATGAAACAGTCAATGAGAGCCAAGCCTACGCGATGTCTGCAAAGACGAGTGCCACCAGTGCAACAGCTGAGCTCCGCACGGCTCATCTTCACTCCAGCCGGCTTCAGGCCCTCAAGTTCTGTCCCAAGTCTGCGAGTAGGCAACTCATGAAGCATCGAGCTTTGTGGAGACATGCGTTCATGTAAGCATCGGACCGACTGCAACTAGTACCTCGCGTCGCCCCTGGCTGAAACCGCTGTACAAGCAGTCAGTTTTTTCCGGCGTTGCACAGCTGTGCCTGAGTCAGGGCCCTGCCAGTGCTCAGCCTGTCAAACACCAGACGATGCTTCGCTCGAGGCGGGTGCGCTTCGCTGAACGTGTGTAAGTTCGAAACTCTAGTAGCTTTGCACCACTTGGATGCCCCACCAAGCGCAAAGCCTGGTCGCCTGCGGCGCTACGAGCCCCAAGGCCGGCTGCACGAAACATGCCATCAGCTCGTGTTCTGGAAAATCCCGTGTATGCTTAAGCCTGCTGACATGTATCAGTATCGGCCGGCACGGGAGCCTCCTCCGATTGCACTGCAACCACAATGGCTTTCGTCAAGCATTGTAAGCAAACTCGTGACTTTGAGATTCGTCGTGGTGACAGCTATAAACAGCACAGGCTGGCAGGCGAACTCAGGCCAGCAGGCCCCTGTTGAACGCCAAGCTGGCGTGGTCAAGGTCAAAGCACTTCCATATCACGGCCAATGCATTGCCAGCAGCTACAGGTACGGTCCGCCTTTGTATATTCGGATGTATACACAGCTGAACTATGAATGATTCGCCAGGGCCGTCAAGGCCTGCAAACCCCCAAACGATGACCCAAAGGGCGCCCGAAAACACTTGCCTCATCATGTTGCAGCTTTCAAGGGCTGAAAACTCCAAGCCGCAGGGCACCGAAACCCCTGGCCAATACTTCTGGAGAGTTCAGGCCCTGAAGACTCCACGATGATGAGCCAAGTGGCGCCGAAACCCCTTGGCTCATCATTTAGAGCTTTCAAGCACGGCCTGAGAACATCAATGAGCCGCAGTTGGAAATGCAGATTGAATTGAATTTGTCTTCCATACCCGCTCTGTAACAGCTCGGCCTCGGCTGCCCTCCACGTATTCCAAAACCGTCAGTGTGCGGTAGGCCGATGAAGGCTGCGGAGCAGATTGCGTTATGAACTCAGGTAATTCGGTCGTACGAATTGGAGGGACAACCAGTCAAAGCTCCACACGGCATGGCACCCTAGCTGGCTCGTGGCAGACCCGGAGGAGGCGAGTGCTCACTTGATCTCACTGGTACAAGCTTGTGTTGCTTTAAGAGGTCGTGAGCCGCGCATCAAATGCAACGTTCGGACGTGCTGCCAGGCGGACATAATGCCGGGGTCCTGCTGGCCTTAACAGCTTGCGTCGCGCCAACATGATCCGAAGTTTGCGCCGCAAAGCATGTGACACGGTAAAACCTGCTTCCGTCAAGCACCTGATTCGTGTTGGTGGCTGGTTGTGGTGGTGGTGGTGGTGGTTGGGGCAGTGCTGCTCTTGCCACAGATCCACGCCGGCTGAGCTACTAGAAACTCGGGAAGCAGACCCACGACGTCTTGGAGTCTTATATATACTTATTGATTGTCAATGATTGAATGGTTATTGCTATTGTGCGAGTTTACATGCAGCAACTTGTGCAGCCGGGCAACGCGGCAGAAGGTGGTCAAGTTGCGACAATAATTCCTGCGTACAGCGGAAAATTGCAAGCATGTACAGTAGCATCATCACGCATAGTGGCATAGCGTGCGCCTGCAGGTTTGGCTGGACTACCACTTTTGGCATGGTTGTGTCCCGTGCCTGGGCAGGAGTTGAACTGGAATTGGCATGTCATCAAGTCGCGGCATAAACTAGTACTGTGTTCTGAGAGCGTGTCTGCTGCCAATCCCTTGGCCAGGCATCTGTTCAGGAAGGGCATCTGCAAGACGTGGCTCCTGTCCGTAACTTGCAAAGCATCGCCATACTTTTTTTGTTCAAGGGTATCTTACATGCACTGCTTTGCGTGAACACGACGCAGTACATTATATAAGCACTGAAGCGCACACGTTCCCGCAAGGATCCGGAGATGATGGCAAGAGAAAATGATGACAAAGGTCATCTGGATTTTAACATTCATCTGCAACGAGGCGGAGACAAGACCTGGAAGTCCAATCGTGTCCTAGCTCTATGCCCAGACCCGTCCAAAAACCGCCATCAAAGTTGCAAAGATCAATGCCGAACTCACTGTTGTCGCCAAAGATTATTGACCGTTTGCGATGGTCGGGAACCACAGGGATTAGATGCCCAAGGCTTTTGCGACAGTCAAAGAGGTTTGCAATTAGAGTATGCCAGTTAAATCTGTTGCACAAACGAACTAAACTGTCGAAAGCCAGCTTGCGTATCAGGTAGGTTGCTGGTTGAAACGGTGTTGGCACTCTGCCTTTCTCGGGCGCTCTGCCCTCCGTCTCAAATCCGAAACTGGGTGAAACGTCAACAAATATGTACGGTTAACACACATTTGAATTAAATTCAGCCACCAGCCTAGCTCCCAGGTCAGTCCACTTCAACGATTTTCTTGAGGATTGTCAGTTCCTGCGTGTAGCTGGCGTAGGCGAGGGGGTTTTTATAGAGCCGGAATTCCAAGTAGTCGGTGAAGCATTCCCTTGGGAATTTCGGCTATTAGTTTGGCCATCTACCGTTACACGGCTTTTGGCAACCAATCAATTAGTTCCTGAATGATATTAAGGTGCACGACTTGGTCTTCGAAAGATCTGTGCCACATTCGCAAGAGCTTCCTGGCCAGTAGAGGACCTGTTCCCACCGACAGTAGCTTTCGAAAGACCTGGCGTTGCTGTGCTTCCATGGCTTTATGACGGACTGGACTTTTGCCAGATCGGACCAAACTTGTTTCTGTTCAGAAGCACCTTCTAAACATACTGTGTGTTTGTGGAACTATGTGCCGAGAACTTGTAATACGGCAGGAAATTAAGCCCATAACCATAATGTGTTTGGACCAGCATTATTGACTTGCTGCAAACGCTCACTCACCTCCTTTTTCTCTCACTCTTGGCATCAAATGTGCTGAACAATCAGGACACGTACCAATGTAACAGGATCTGCTGCAATGAATGCATACACACACACATATATTATTTTCTTTCCAGCAATCTGGGCGGCAGGCCTCTTGTTCGGGCAACAGCAGGGCCTGTGGTCAATGACGTGTTGTTGGGCTTGCTCTTCTGGCATCCTGGAAGCCACACGTTCCCAGTGATAGGGTACGACGTGGGACCACTCGCCTCCAATGCCAGACACACATTCATTCATTCATGTACTGTAACACAAACACAGCAGGTTAGCTACACATTCAGTGTCCTGTCAACTAACTTAACTGAAAGGCAACCAGGTATCCACGTCGAAGCACGACGAAGTTGGTTTACTTGGACTTGCCTGCTGTGTACATTTAAACCGAACAAATTGCTGAATCTTTCCAAGATACCGTCGTGTGTCACACGAACTCGGAGAATCCAAATTGGTTTGTCCGTGCCACCAGGATTCGGGTCGTACTTAATCTCACCAGGGCATTGAACAGGTCTCCAGACCCCTGGCCGGTCACGAATCGGCTGCCGCTGACCTTGTTGCGGGCCACGGAGTACAACAACCCCGGTCTCCGGGTGCTGGGAAACACTCTGCCGTCCACGCCGACATTCTGGTCGTCAGCCTCCGGCCCTGGCACTCTGCCTTCCATGTCGACATTCTGGTCGCCTGCCTCCGGCTCTGCTCGCTCTCGACCATTTTCATCCGGAGCCCTAGACCGTTTCCTGGGCAACACACGCGAAGAAACTTTCTCATGTTCCGTTGCCTTTAACTTTCCCTTGGCCTTGGCCTTCGCTCGCTGCGACTTCTTGACGGTTTGCCAGGTTGGCTGCAGCTGCACCCTTTACGTAAATTCTGCTGAACTGCGACTGAGACCAATCGAAAATCTTGTTTGTCCTCAGCAAGCAAGTCGTCAAGAACCAGCTCATCAACCAAGTCACCCGTGAAAAAGTCATCCTCATCTTGAATCTTTCGCTGAAGACTACATAGCATCAATTTTGCGCAAGAAATCCGCATCTTCCAGAACAACACAAGAAGCGATCAGGCTCATGAGTTTTGGACGGCGCATTCGTTGCAGTTCCCTTCGCTTTC